TTGTTTTACAAGCGAGAGGAAAAATGAATAAAAGAGAGCAAAGCTGCAGCAGGGCAGCGCCTTGGCGGGCAGCTCCCGGGGTGCAGGAGAGGACTCAGGCTCCGAAAACGGGGTTGGCAGCGATGGAGCGAGACTCCAACTTTAATTTGCTGCCGCTGGGTGTAGGAACAGCTTCAACGCTCGCTGCCTTCCCCAAACCCTGGGCATTGCAACGCGCCGGTGAGGAAACCAAACTGCAGAGACTTGGAAAAGTCAACTCATTAATTAGTGCAGCGCTGCCTGCAAAACAGAGCGGGCTAAAAGCTGCTCCTTGTCCCAAAGTGCTTACGCGGCGCGCACAAGGCACATGAGAGGGACGCGGGCAGCGAGCGAAGGCCCGGGAACAATGCGGCAGTGTCTGCCGAAAGGCCGTGGGCCCGGGACGCCGTTTGGGCCGTGATCCTTGTTGATATCAAGTGATTTCATGTGACTCACTCACTTCGGGGCTGCGGGAACAAACCGCGGGCAGCGGCTTTCGTGTAAACACGTCTCGCACCCGCGTCCTCAAATTGCCTGTCTGTAACACGGCTCGAACACCTCCTGCCGGGCGCTGCCACTGCCCCATGGCAGGGGGGCCCCTTCTCCAGCACCGTTAACCACCAGCCTAATTTAGGGGCCTGTCATATAACAAATATTTAAGGAGGGCAGGAGCGGGCTGAGGGCAGGGTCTGCTCCCATTGCTGGACCTGCCAGCTGGGATCCAGCCCTTGGAGCCAGGCGAGATAAAAAGTGATGAGGATTTGGGGTGGAGTCTCCTCCCTTTCAAATGCTGGTGGCAAAACGGTCTCTTTTGGGTGAGGACATAGAGGCCGGGTGGTTCTTCCACGCAAAGCAAACACCGGCTATCGCTGCTTGCTCAGGGCCGCTATTAATGAGCAGGGCTATGGGGTTTTTTTTAAAGCAGCAAAGCAGAGGGGGCTGCATCCCGTGGGGTGGAGGGTGGAGGAGCCCAGCAGCAGCGCTGCCTGCTCGGGCGCAGATGGGCAGGGAGAGGAGTGAAGCGGCACCAGCTGGAGCAGGGGACGAGCAGAGAGAGAAGCAGCTCCCGCTCTTGGCAGCCGCTCACCGGGGCGTGCGTTTGGGAGAGCAGCGGGGAGCACCGGGCTCTGCCGGGCTGCGATGCCTTATTTCAAATGCATTTGTTAACAAATAGTGGGGAGGGAACCCCAAAACCCAGCCCAGCATCCCCATCAGAGTCACAAGGAAAGAGGTGCGGAGGCCAAAGCTGGTCCTGTCGTTAGGTTTAGCCAGGAGAGCAGAGGGAGCAGGGTCTGCACAACCAGCTCTGGGCTTTGTTTGGGTTCTTTAATTTTGGAAAGATCCTGGAAGACAGGAGGAGGGCACTGGGAAGCACTGCTCCACCTACTGATGTCTCCCAGCATCAGGAAGTGCCTTGGTGCACCTATATCTCTTGATTAACCATTCCAATGCATTAAATTTAGAAGGAAAGCAGGAAGTGACCCAGCAGGCTCCGGCACAGCCCCACAGAGACCTCCCCATGCAGCCAACGCTTTCCACGCCACCCTGCAAGCAAAGGCTCAGGGCAAGGATGCTCTGGAGCTGGGTGCTCTGCATTGGGGTGCTCTGCATTGGGGTGCAGCACACGGTAACGAGCTGGGTCTCCAGAACAAGATGCTCGGGGCTGGTACAACACCCAAAGTCAGTCACTCCCTGCCTGAGGAGTTTCAATTAAAGATGCCTTTTTCACAAAATAACAAGAACAAATTCTTTCTTCCTCCTTACCAATATCCTGTGTGCTCCCGGCTTTGTGCTTTTTTCTAATAAAAAGCAAAGAGAGGAAGAATAGGAGATATTAAGGGAGGAGGAACAACAATTTCCCGACCAGATGTGCCATATCAGAAAGAAAAAGGGCTCCTTCAAGCCCCTGCGTGTCCCTCATGGGCAGCTGGACCAGTGACTCTCACCCGGGCCCGTGGCCAGCGGGGATGCGCAGCTGGGGGCCAAGCCCCGAGCCATGGAAAGGCTGTGGGTAACTCCCCCATCTCTGTCTCTCGCAGGGCCGCTGTCCCCGGGCACACACAGAGGCTCGGCCGCCGAGGCCGTGACCCGGGCGCAGGATGGGAGGCGCCGCTGGATTTGTCCGCACATCCCTGGCTGTCGTCGCCTTGCTGGGTAAGAGCAGCCCCTGTCCGTGGGTCCCTGTCTGCTCAGGGCTTTTGCGGCTCCAGCGATGCTGAAGCCAAATTTTCCCTGGTGGTTTACGCAGCCAAGGGATGCGTCTGTGCCGTGTCCAGCCTCTCTTTGTACCGCTCAAGGGAGAGGACAGGAATGGTTGACGCACAAGTCTCCCCCTTTCTAAATTCAAATTTAGGTGAAATGCAGGCTCTGCAGTAAACCCATAGCAGGAGCAGGGCCCCTCTGCAGCCCAGGCTCCTCCTGGCCTCGGCGCAAGCAGGAATTTCTACCATTACCCCATGGACTGGGTGAGCTTTAGGGTCCCTTCCAACCCAAACCCTTCATGATTTCTATGAATTCCCTCCTGCCAGCAGGACTTGCTCAAGGCAAAGCTGCTTCGCCTCCCAGTTTTTCTAGGGATGCCTTTTTGGCCATACCCTGACTGCAAAGATTCCCCCGTTCATCGGGGACCGTTTCTGGATCTCGGGGAGTCTCAGGCTGCACTCCAAAGGTCCCTTTTCACCAGGGAGACATTGCATTTCAGACAACTGAGAATTGGATAATGTCTTCAAGCTAATTCATCATCCCAGGCAGAGCCCGCTCGCCTGTCCTTATAAATATCTAATTACCTTTTAATGTCCTCTGGATCCCCAAGGAGGCAGAGGGAGGGGTGGCTGCCCTAGATTGGGAGGCAATTAGCCTGTTTGGAAATTGGTCTGACCCAAATCTGGTAGAGGCAGCAAGATGGAGCTGGGCTCTCCCATTAACCAGCTGAGTTCCCACAACTTGCGCCCCGTCCAAGCTGAGCCCTCAAGAAATGACTCAACCGTGAGGCCTGCGAGGGTTATTTTTCTCTTGACCTTTTTGGCTGGTAATGTAATGGATCTCAGGAGCCAGCTGAGACGGAGAGAAATCCTCACCGGGAACAGGAGCGAGGGACCAGGGACAAAATGATGCCAGGTATAGATGAGGCTCAAGGAAACCCTCCAGGGGACCCAAAACCTCCCGGTCTGGGCTGGCAGCTACTGCGTTGGCAATGTCACCCCTCCCTCGGCCGCATCACCTGAAGGACGGCTTCCCTGCAAAACACAAAGGTTTATAAAGTGCAGAGAGAAGAGTCGTAATGAACAAGGCTGTCAGCAAAGCCTGGAAGTCACTGTGGCCTTCCTTCATTCCCTAACAGCCGCGGAAAACGGTGAAGTCTGAGGGTAGCCAAAGCGCTGCCCCTTTGTTCCTCAGAAAGCCTCTCATTAAAAATAACTCTCTGCTCCTCAGAGAGCTGCTCTTTAAAAATAACCGCTTCGATTTCGTGCACATGCATGCGTTCAGATTTCCTATCAAACCAATTAATTGCCCGTTTCCCCCGTGTGCCAAGGCTTCAGGCTGTGGTCAGTGCTCGGTAAAAGGACAGCGGCTGCTGCTGGCCTCGTAAACCGAACACATCTTGGAAAAGCTTCAGCTGAGACACTGATCATGAGCTCAGCACTGAGGGGAAGCTCTCAGCCTCCCGGACACCTGGGCTTTTCGGGGCTGACTTGCAGCATTTTCCAAATACCAATAAGAACAATAACGCCAAAGCCAGAAATGGGCCGGCGCGGCTGCACGAAGGGGGCACTGGCAGCCACCTCCCTGCTCACTGCGGAGACAAGGCTTGAGTTTTGTCTATTCCAGCAATATCTGGTGTAAAGTTTGGGGGATTTTTTTATACTCACAGAGACAGCCATGTCCTTGGCAGTGCATTTCATGATCCAGTATTTATCTTTCCCAAACAGCAGCACAAGTCGCTCCTGGAGCGCTGTCTGGAACCTTCAAGCATTTCTGCAGCTGGTTTTCCACAGCTTAATTTCCAGATTATGCTCCATTTTCACCTATTCATATTTATTTTACTGTTCATATTTACTTTTTCTAATAATGAATGTTGTTCTAGTCAGGTGTAGCAGCACATTTAGCGTAATTTCTGCTCACCTAGCTGGATTTTATCACAGACAGTAGGGCTGCACGAGGCATGCCCAATTCTGACCATATCCTCAACTTGTATCTGTTTAGTTACGACTTTAATCTAATTGTTTTGCTTAATCAGTGAGATCCAGGCATTCAGCCCCAACACCAACCAGACACCTTGGAGCTGTAGATAAAAACCCGCCCGAACTCCTGGCACTGATTACACTGGAGGAAATCAATGCCTGACGGTTGCAGTCCGTAACCTTGGCAGGGAGCAGGGGACAGCAGCGGAGAGCAACGGGGTGCAGGCTCTGGGTGGAATCAGAAGGGCTGATTAGCGTAATTTGGCTTGATTGGGAAGGAGCATCCCCTGAGAAAAGGCGTGCATGAGAGTGTTAATAATATAGATTTTATTTGTTAAATAAATAGAAATTATTTACCATATGCTACCTATTAATCTCAAAATGCAAAGCTGTTAAACCGTAACCTATTCACTACCATCTACCAGAACGCAATTAATACACTAGTTTCTTATTAATAATCCATTAATTCGTTATTACTATTTTACCCTCTGGTCAGCAGAGCTATTTCCAGCTGAGACTCGCTCAGCGCAGCCGTTGCTGACCCAACCGAGAGCAGATTTCCAAGCCGCTCCTTTGTGAATTTAACCATTCCAGAAGGAAAACGGCACCGACACCGATTTAGAGGGAATATAACCCTCCAGAAACACTGCTCTCCTCTTGCTCCACAGTATGAGGCACAGGGTGCAGCCCCTCTCCTGCGCAACACCCGGGACCACCAGCTCCCTCCCGCACACCCGCTGCTGAGGGCCTGGGTAATTGTCCACTGCTGGGACACGAGGAGCAGCTGCTCTGCACCCACGGAGCCAATTAGCGCAGCCCCAATCCCGTCTGCCCCTCATCTCCTGCAAGAGCAGCCGGGGCATGAGGCGAACCCCGGGAGCTACAGGTACAGGGCTGCTCCCCCCGGCGCCCGGCAGAGCCGAGCTGCCCGATCCCCGCTGGAAGTTACTCTTGCATTAAACATCACACTTACCGGAGTCACCGAATTTAACCAGGGACCACGCTGCGGACTGCGGGGAAGGAAACAGATTGCTGGTTGGCATGGCAGTTTTAAGACGGTTATTAATTCAATTACAAAGCGTGGAAGGATCCTGGGGTTAGTGAAGCATCTCTGAGCTTATCTCTGTGGAAGCAGAGGGGACGGCACTGGGAGGACACTGCCTTGAGGTGCTCGGTCCCTGTAAAGGGACAGGGGTTTCTCAGGGTGCTGGGGAGAGGACAGAGCTGCTGGAGGTCATTATCCCACAGTTAAGAGCTTTCCAGGCAGCTTCTGCTTTGTTCTTACTTATTTGCACTGCCATTTCCATAAAGCCTGGGTGGAAGGGGTCTGTCAGCATCTGCCACTGATCTGAGACACAGAGCCGCTCACTGCGGACAGCTGGTGCTCTCCAGTGACACCACCACACCAAAACATGGCCCAGACAGAGCGGAGGAGAAGGCAGGGAGGGTCTCATGTCTCATGCCTATGCCCGAGCCATGCTCATCACAGCAAGATCAGAGTCAAACCCCTGCCTGAACACCGCAGAGGAAGCTCCAAGCCCCATTAGTTGAATACCAGACCTGACACCTGTAGCACTGGCAGCAAGCAGCAGGTTTGGGCTATCAGGAGCTGATGATGGTGCAGATACAGGGATGGAGGGGATCTGCAGGCGTTTGCAGCGAGGCGGTGGCAGAGCTGTGAAGATCCAGGTTCTCCTCCCTCCTCCCTTGTCCTGGAAAGGGCTGAGGAGGAACCGACCTGGAGTGTGTACAGAGGAGGAACCAGCCCGTCCTCACTGCCAGGGACAAGGAGGGCACCCGGGGGTCTCCGGCTCCAGTCTTGTCTGTGCGTGGCTCATAGGGGTCAGTGCTCCTCCATCCACACGTCTTGAGCGTGTCTGCTCCCTCTGGCACAGCACAGAGCGTGTGAGATGCTCAGCGGGAAGCACACGCTGCCTGCCCAGAGCCACGGCTGGGGCTGGGCTGTGGTGACAGATGGGCTGGGGCTTTCACATCGCTCCTTCTCTCGTCGGAGATGCAGCTCTGACGCTGCCAGGAACACCCTGCAAAACTCAAAAGGAGAATTTTTACCAGAAGCTAAATTCAGCTGAGCAGGTTTCCCCTCTCTTGCAGCGTGGTGCCAAGCGCAGAGCAGCACGAGGAGCTACGGGCCGGTGTTTGAGGAGCAGCCCGCGCACACCCTCTTCCCCGAAGGCTCAGCGGAAGAGAAGGTCACGCTGGCTTGCCGAGCAAGAGCCAGCCCTCCCGCGACCTACAGGTGAGGGCTGGGACACAACCACCACCAACTTTGCTTTCCGTTCTCCACTTCTGTATAAAACAAATCGCTAACAGGAGAATCAGCCTCCTCATCTACAGGTGATGTGCAATCCCACCCAGCTCACAGACCAGACCTCAGTCCAACTCAAATCCTTACGAGGCACCACACAACATGCGATTGCAGTGAATATTCACCCCTCTCGCTCTTTGCAGGTGGAAGATGAATGGCACAGAGATAAAGGTGGAGCCGGATTCCCGTTACAGGCTGGTTGCAGGTGACTTAGTGATAAGCAACCCCGTGAAAGCCAAGGATGCCGGCTCCTACCAATGCGTGGCATCGAACTCCAGGGGCACGGTGGTCAGCAGGGAAGCCTCCCTCCGCTTTGGCTGTAAGTTTGTCTCCACAAGGTAAATGAAACGCAGCCGCAGTTACGCTGGGGGTAAACCGAGCCCCCCTGCTCGCACAAATAAAGGTTGGAGAGGAGCTCCATGGTGCATGGTACCCAACAGCATCACCTGGAGAAATCCCCTGGCACTTCCCATTTGCACAGAGGTTGTACAAATATGATGCGCTATGGAGAAAGTTGGTAATGTTTTTGGATGTCTCTTTGTACAACTGTTGAAAAGACCGGCCTGTGAGGGGGATACAACATGCAGTAACGCGGCTGTCTTCTTCATCCACGGACAGGGCTCACTCTGTGTATTCAGTTTTGCAGGAATTCTCCGCAGAAGAGCGAGACCCCGTGAAGATTACAGAAGGCTGGGGGGTGATGTTCGCCTGCAGCCCCCCTCCCCATTACCCAGGTAAGGGTTTGCATCTCAGCATTGCCGCCAGCAGGGGTGAGCTGGTGCCTGGGGGAGAGGTGCAACAGAGCAAGGGATTCCCAGGCACCTGAATTGCTCCTTTGCTTTTCCTTGGGAATTTTTGGGAAGCAAATTCAGCTTTAATTCAGGCTCGTGCAGTTTGGTCCTTTTGTCTTTTCCCCATAGGCTTGTCCTACCGATGGCTCCTGAACGAGTTTCCCAACTTCATCCCAGCCGATGGGAGGCGTTTCGTGTCTCAGACCACGGGAAACCTTTACATCGCCAAGACGGAGGCTTCCGACCTGGGCAACTACTCCTGCTTTGCCACCAGCCACATCGACTTCATCACCAAGAGCGTTTTCAGCAAGTTCTCCCGCCTCAGCCTCGCCGCAGAGGGTCAGTGCTGGGGATTATCATAGGGGAACTGGGCAAAACGCAGAGTTAACAAGCACTCAGGCTCCGCAGGACTCCAGCAGTGCACAAATCACCCTCCAGCCTCTCAGGGGAGCTTAAGAGCTTACAAAAACATTAATTGGCTGCGACCTGGGGGAAGTAGCCATCTCTCCAGGCTCTGCTGCTTGTGCAGCTGCAAACCCACACCCACAGGGTTTCTCTGCTTGTTTGTAAGGGAGAAATGGCAGAAGGTGCAGCCTGTGCAGGCTCGCACGTCCCTGAAACCGCTCTGCTTTTGGTGACCTTGCAGAGGCACAGCTAAAGACACTTCTTTAGGGAGTTAAGCAGGTAGGAAATGAAGGAGAATCACTCCTGAGATGTTGCAAAGGGGTTTTCAGAGACTTTAGTAAGAGCTGTTTTAAGAGGAAAACGAAACTTAGTCACTGCCACCCGTAAATTACCCAAGCGCAGGAAGGTTTTGCAAAGCAGCGTAACCTCGCGGGTACCTCTGCGCTTTACGTCCTCACGTGTGCCAGCTTAAAGCCACCCAGAACTCCTCCACAGTGCTTTCCTTTCCTTCCACAGATGCCAGGCAGTATGCACCCAGCATAAAAGCCAGGTTTCCCGCAGACACCTACGCTCTGGCTGGGCAGATGGTGACTTTGGAGTGCTTTGCCTTTGGAAAGTGAGTGCAGCCTCTGCGTCGCTCGGGACCGGGAGGGCATCGCCGAACCCACAGCTTTCCCAGCCCCTCTCTTCAAGGGGTCTGCTGTGGAGCAGAGATGGGGGGCAACAGGAGGGGGGGACTGGTTAAAGCCATCTGTCCTGATGGCCAAGGCCCAGCTGGGATGGGACCTGCGTGGCTGAGCAGGGACTGAGTTACGTACTCAGCACATGCATACTCCGCACACACACACGTTGTAATGCAGCATGGGGTACCCGAGTGCTGGCCGTCACCAGATTTACTTTCACGCAGCCCCGTTCCTCGGATCAAGTGGAGGAAGCTGGACGGCTCGCAGTCCTCCAAGTGGATCGGCAGCGAGCCCCTCCTGCAGATCCAGGACGTGGGCTTTGAGGATGAGGGCACTTACGAGTGTGAGGCTGAGAACACCAAAGGGAGGGACACCCACCAGGGCCGCATCATCATTCAAGGTAACGCACTGAAACACGGGCAGTGCTGGAGCACAGCAAGATGCCCCAGGATGGACTGAGCCTCTGGGGGTGAAACCACCACCCTTGATCCTGCCTCATGTCAGCCCCAGTTAAACCCATTGTAAAGCCCTAGCAAAGACCTGTAGAGATCACTGATTTAGGCTATAGCATGCAAAGAGGCACCTCCTAACTTGCTCTAAAATAATTCCAGCAAAAACGAGGTAACCAGGGAAGGAAGCATAGCGGTAAAAATCTAACTGGCCTCTCTCCAAGCCTGGACTACTTCCACCAGGGTTAATGCTTACAGCTATTAATCAGATCTAGTCAAGTCACTAAACTTAACCTGGTTGTCTTAGTCTGAATCCAGTCTTTTCTGAAGTTCAGGAACGACTGCGTTTACTCTTAACAAGAGAAATCACAATATTCTTGTGATCTCAGATCCAGATTCTGTCATAATTTTGTGCAGTCTGCATGCACGGCTGCAGCCAGACCCATAGACCCAGCCAGACCCACACACCCAGCCAGACCCATAGACTCAGCCAGACCCACAGACCCAGCCAGACACAGCCTTGCACGGCCGCACAAAAGGCGAAGGCTGTTAAAACGGTGAAACACGCTGTGATAACTACATCTGCCAGCAGAGATGACACAATGAGCGCCCTTCTGCCCGCCTGGCACGATGAGCCGCTCATCTGATCTCCTTGGCTCTCTCTGCCACCCCTCTTGCTCCTTTGCAGCTCAGCCCGAGTGGCTGAAGGTGATCACGGACACGGAAGCCGACATCGGGTCCGACCTGCGCTGGAGCT